GTAAGGTTAGTATAGTCCGCAGCGCAAAGCGCCGCGCAAACCTTCAATTTACATGCGGAACAACTAACTCCCAGCGGCCGTGGGAAGCAACTTCAACTACATTTTTTTCACTATACACTTCTAAAAATTTCCTTCTCTGCCTATCCTATTTCCCCACCCCCCAAAACTATATTACCACCATTTTTGCAGGACAAATGGTGGGATTAGGGGTATATGAGTGGGCCTCCATAAGCTATTTTTGCCGACTTTTGTTGATGCGAAGAGTTAGGTCTTAAAAGGCGACTGAAATCGTTGTCAAGAGGCCGTCTTACCCCAAAAAATTTTCTTCCGAGTTAGGCAATACGAATAAGTCTAAACGAAGGCTCGAGTTGCTGGCTGTAGGATACCAGTAGGTGGTTAGACATCTGATCCCCGTTGTCTCATGTTCAATAACATCCACACTATGTAGCTGACTTAAGTCAAGCTCCCCACTGCTCCGGATTGACTATGACTAATGACTACAGAGCACATCGGAAGACTGAGAGCTTGCAGCCCCTTGACCAACATTTTTTTGAAATTCCCGATTCCTGAAACGTGAAAGGCCGAGATTCGTTTACAACTGCGATTTGACACACTCTTTAATGAAAGCCTGCAGCATGTTAGGTTTTTAAGGGGACGCAAGGCGGAAGTGTGCGGCGCAGTGGCTATGAAACTTTTAGTTCCTTTATGTGCCAATATTTTCCAAGACTCACAAACTTATAGTATATTACACTGTCTCTTCCTCTTAAGGGAAATTGGGTTGAGAAGAAGTAGATGTGAGCTCTAGGACAAGAATTTTATTCGCTCGACGTTTTGAAATCTATCGCGAATCCTCTATTAGAGACATTAGCAGAAGAGGGTAATTAATGCACTGGGAGTCACAGTATTTATAGGATACAGTCACTATGCTACTGCTCCCTTAGGGCAATTAACGACTTCCCTACAGGGGGTCATTGCCCGCTTGTGAACTAATTACTTGATGGCGGGCGTGCGGGCCATGACCTGCTGAACTTTCGTCACATAAGGTGGAAGTGGATGTTGTTAGGATGACCGAGCACGTCATCCAGACAGACAGACATACAGACAT